CTTCAAAAGCTTTAGAAATGCTGTGCAGTACTGCTAGTCTTTCTACTGCAAAACAATAACAACCCTCTATATCGAGGTGTCAAAATACAGCCTAATTAGATGCACCAGTACAATCATAAAAATATATATATCGAGGTGTCAAAATACAGCCCAATTAGATGCACCAGTACAATCATAAAATAATATCCTATAAACAACAATCCATTATTATTATATTTAATGAAATGTAATTTTACAAAACATCATGAAGATGAAGTGTTTGTGCTTTTTTTTTACTTTTTTTTTTACTAAATTTGATCAAGTGGGCCGGTTTGAACCTCCTAGAGGTCCAGTTCTGGTCCACGGACCAGATGTTTGACACCCTTGCTCTATATTCTCTAATTTTGTAATTTAGTATTAAGTGAATTTTGTGTGACAATAAGTGAAATGTGTGGTATCACAGTGATAGAGCTCATTATTCAAAATCAACATGGATGACACACAGTGGATGACCAAAAAAGAAATACACCTCCCTGTACTATAAGCAACTCAAACACATCCTAAAATACACGCTGACACGTTCTCTAACTCCAGACTTCATTCTGCCACTTAGTCTCTTCCTTTTTCTCCTAAACTGACTTTAGCCCAGCTGCATCTGCCAGAGGTTATTTTACACTACCTTCATTCAGGGTGACCCATGAATCTCTATGACCTCTGAAGGATAAAGACATATTTCATCCAGACAGTACAACAAGTTTTTTTTTCTGTGCATTGCCTCTTGACCTCGAAACGTGGCAGTAATCTCTCAGGAATAAACACAAACTTGAGGATATCTCAGAGCTTTCCAGAGAAGCAGTGCTGTTTAAGAGTGTCCGCAGAAGATACAGCTCAGACATGGTGACTGTTTCACTGTGTGGTTCGGTGGTGAAGTGGTAACACTTGGGCAGGCAACACGATTTAGTACACGGAGTGAGGATTTGTTGTACAAGCCGTCATCATCTGAGTGTTAGCGTTTGCTGATTATCAATTGAAATTTAAACTGGGTTGTCAGAGCACAGTATTTGCTTTGTTTTAAATGACAGCAGCCAAAGCAAACTAATTTGTCAACCGACAGGGCATTGGTCTAAATAAATCCTGAATGTGACCTGGTTTGATATTTGCAGCCACCAATGACCATTCTCCAAGGATAATGAATACTTCCAACAAAACCTTGTCTATTAAATGATTCTGAATACAGCAGCTGGTGAGGCAATTTTTGCCATCCTGCATTATGGGCACTATATTCCGTTTGCACTACTTTGTGCCATCTGCTGCCACAGGTCGAAGCCAGTTCAATTAGAGACGGGTATTAACTAATTGAGGACAACTAGCGGTGAAAGGTGTCCCAACTTTTGATCGTGTTAAACACAACAGCTGTGTGAAAACCCCATTTAATAGCCTTGATATGATCGTCTAAGGCAGTGTTTCCCAAACTTATCTTCTGGGACACCCATATTGTAAAAGTCACAAACCTTCGCAACCCAAGTCAATAGACATTATTCGTAAACCCCTGGGGAACATGATGCGAGACGACCCAAAAAAAAAAAAATCTCTTGTGACCCACCTGGGGGTTGCGACCCAGTCTTTGGGAAACAATAGTCTAAGACAGTGGTTCTCAAACTTTTTCTACTCTGTAGCACCTGAGAAAACATGGAGCTCTCTGTGTACCACCACAATGACCAACATTAGAATATAGCAGCACAGGCCTTCCCTGTTAGCATTAGCACTGCAGGAGAGATGGTTATAAATGTTTAAAAATGTTTATAAAAATCTTTATGTTTAAATGTTGTATTAATTGAGCATGATATGTTTCAGATTTATTCAATTAAAAATGTAAATGTGAAAATATGAATTTTCCCCGCGTACCACTGGAGAGTGCGTACCACAGTTTGAGAACCACTAGTCTAAGACATTGTTTCCCAAAGACTGTTTCCCCAAGAGTTCACGGTCATCGCAACAGCTGTCTGCCTCCAACGTCAAAATGGCTGCCAGCTGTGGTTATGTCTCTGATGTTTGTTTTTTTTAAATAGTGTATAATTAATTATAGCCTATGTGTTTAATGTTAGCATTCTGTCCTGTCTTTCTGCACGCTAGACAAAAGTGCAAAAAGCCGCCACTAACCCAGACTGTGTTCTAGAACCGATTAAACACAACGTAACAAGAAGCACTTGAACAACGTTCTAATCCAATTAAAACAAGACCGATTGTAGAACGGAGAGTAGGTCGACGCGACGCGTGGCGACTGCATTCACGCGTCTCACTTTAGCAGAGCACAGACCTTCCCGTCGGTGTTTTTGAGTTATACTAACTGCTCGGCCAACAATAAAATATCCTCATTAATGTTCAGAAATTGGTCAAGTACACTTTTTTTTTTGTGATTTACGAATAATGTCTATTGACTTGGGTGGCGAAGGTTTGGGACTTTTAAAATATTGGTGCCCGTTCGATTGTAAACATCAAATTTTGATGTCTCATTAAAACACTTTTAACCCTGCAAATCAATCTTCCCTTTCAAACCAAACACAAACTGAACATGTATAGAAGACATCAGGCAAAAACCTGCACTTTCTTTCCTGCTTTTCCTAATTTCATCACTTATTGTAACTACGTTCAACAAATCCCCACTTGCGATCCGTACCTGCAGCAGCAAAAGGCCGTAAAAACGGCAACAGCCTACGACGGGCTCGACACCCAAATCGGTAAGCAGAGACTGTCAGTTCTACAGAACGCAGCCTTGAGCTAAAATCTCGGGACAAGAGCCGAGGAGCAGCAGCTGTCTCCATGTGTGACAGATGGATTACGATGTGGACGTCCACCTGTCTCTCAACCATAAAAAAAAAACGTCTCTATTGAGAATGTTTGGAGCAAAAAAAAAAAAAAGAACTGAGCAAATTGAAGAACTATGTATTTCAGTAAATGCAAATTGTGAATTAGCCAAGTGTAATTTGTATGCATGATTTCATTTTTTCTCTTCAAAATCCCATGCCTTTATTGCTTTTCTCTTTACTTAGACCAGTGAATTTTAGATAATACTAATCCAGCAACACTTACTTGCTACTTCCAGTGATGCATTGTGACTTATGGCCTGGCCCAGGTAGTTTCGAGCAACACACACATAACTGCCGTCGTCAGGCTTGCTCCGTCGCCCGTGGATGATGCGTAGGAAGAAGAGGGAGCCACTGGGCAGTAACATCCGGTGGGAGCGAGGGTTGTCACGGTCGGTCTCCACGCGTTCTCCGTCTTTGTACCATTCCACCGTGGGGGTTGGACGACCTTCTGCCTTACAGTTAAGAGTCGCCGGTTCTCCTTTGGACACAATGAGGTCGGAGGGGTGCTCCACAATGTGAGGGGGGAAGTCTTCCTGGCGAAGACGAGACCCTGAAGAAATAATGCAACGGTGATGATCAGTTTATGTCATGAATTCGATTGAAACGTTCGAATGTACCTTAAATACACGCTTTTATTTACACATAACGCAAGGCAGAGGTTTCATTTCCCTGAGGCACCTCAAGCCTAAAATAACATCTCAACCCCTACTGTTGCATTGTGGGAGCAGAGCAGTGATCTATATCCACCACCTCTATGAAGCTGAATTTTGAGTTATACCTTTTCATACTTCTCTCAACATTTTTCCAATTAATTCTATCACGTGAGTTAAAATATATTACAAAACAAATACATTAACCTACTGTTACGTCTTTCAGTTCCAGCAATACATAGAATTGTTTTTCATCGTATTAAGGAAAGCTAATTTATCTCACTTAATCATGATTTCTCCACCCCGGCATCAGCAATTACAGGGTAACTGTAACCTGTCCTACATGAAATCAGCAGATACCAGTGACAGAATACCTGCTGAAATTGACAATGGTCAAAAGCACACGTGTCAAACTCAGGCCCACAGTGTAATTAAATTTGGCCCACGAGATCATATCAAATGTGCACTAGAGTTGGTCCGCCGTTATATAGGCCCTATATACTGGCAGGATTTGGAGTATTAGCGGTGTGTGCGCTAGGTTATAGCTCATACATTTTGTTTGTTTGGTTTTTTGTTGCTACTGATGTGTGTTTATAATATTAAGCTTTGGTTGTTCCAGATTCAATGTTTACACAAAACATGAACAATTGCCCTCAATTTTTTAATGGCCCGCAACATCGTCCCAGTTTTAAATTTTGGCCCACTGTAAATTTGACTTTGAGTATCATGAAATGATAATATGCTTAATATATTGTACAAATTTCCACAATAAATTAAACTTAATTTGATTCTGATTTTACAAAATTTTAAATGTGGCTTGCTCGGCAAACCTTTTACAATACCTGCTTTTGTATTTCTAACTGAAAAGCAGAAAGCAGGCTTTTATTTTAGGCTAAGGCAGAAAGAATAACCTGGGGATAAGAACAGGCAAGAGGAAAAATAAAAACAGGAATCAGTTTGAATAATGCAGCAGAGTTCTGCTGAGAAGATGCGAGACTCTCAGCTAAATCGGCAGGGATGTGATAGGAAGTGCCTCTGTCGAAAAACAGTGCCCCATGTGGTTTACCACCGCGTATGCACCCCTTATTAAAAGAGACGCTGAACGTGAATTAAATATATACAGTTTTTCTTTTATTTAGCTGGATTTTTTAATCATTTTTTTAAAGGAAATGATTGATTATGAAAGCTGAATGTGATTTTTTAATCATTTTTTAAAGGAAATGATTGATTATGAAAAAGACAAATACAGTTTCCATCACTCTGCCTCCAATCGACTGGAAAAATGAGCTTGTTTGTGTACGTGTGTGTGTATGTGTGCGCGTGTGTGTGTTTTAGTGGGCCGTACCACTATTGTTCTTTTCAACCACTGACACCACAGCACCTGAAACTGTGAAGCCCACCACAGTTATGTGAATCAATACGTCCAGTCAGAGCCACACTAACAACCACAAAACTACCTCTAATCCAGGCTACACTGCTGAGTTGTCAATCATCCTCGTTCTCATCTCATCTCATGGTCTTTTCAAAGAAAGCGTGCGAGTTCCTGCGAGGCAGTGGACACCGAAGAAAACAGCCTAATTAGGTTCAGGTACGCAGCTCCACTGCCTCTGCACATCTCGTATTCCATATGAGTCTTCGCAACCCCCCACGTAGCCAGGTGTGAACAGAAAACACACATCCAACCATTTTTAACCAGCTACACAGAAATAACTCTCTGACTAGAGAGTACCTGATTCTTCAGGGATTCTTTGTTTTCTCCCTCTGTTCAAAGACTTTTGATTGGATTGGTTGATTGGACCCTGATTTGAATTTATTGTTATTATTTTTATTATTTCATACAAAAATATTTTTAATTTATTTTACATTGACAATTTGTATAGAACTGAAGAACCGACAATGTTGTTAGGGTTTATTTAATGTTTTTAATAATACAAATTAATGGACTTGTGTCAGCGATGTAACTGTAAATAAGAAACCCATGTCCCTAACCTACACTAACACAGTGCTGTCATCATAATCTAGGACAATGCTGTCAAACTCATTTCGGTTCAAGTGTCGCATACAGCCTGATTAGATGTCAAGTGGGCCGTACCAGTACAATCATAGGATAGTAACCTATAAATAACAAAGAGTCCGTCTTGTTTCACTTTATATACATGAAGTAAAGTATGTTAGATTATTCTTTATATTTAGTGAAATATAATTTTGTGAACATGAACAGTTCGTGTTTTATTTTATTTTGAGAACTTTGAAAACATCAAGCGGGCAAGATAGAAACCCCAAGCGGGCCGGTTTTGGCCCGCAGGCCGTATGTTTGACACCACTGATCTAGGACAAAGTAAAATCTGATTTTGACTTACACTTGGGAGCCACTTTAAAGGGCAAAAAGTTCTAAAGAAAAAACAAAAAAAAACTATACTAACGAAAGAAAGCAAAAGTAGCACAATCCAATGTATGGCCTAAAACTGGCAAACATAAACAAAGCCAGCTAACACATATAGCAACGAGTTGATGTAACTAGTTAGCGAACTAGTTGGGCAGTTTTAACGCCATGATGGAACATGACTTTTTTAGTACTGTACATTTACAAGAGATGGCAACATAACCGCGAAACGCTGGATGCAGGATAAAGTAACTGGACACTCATGTTGACCATTGGTGTTAGTGTGATTTTTTGCGTATTATTCTTAATTGCATTTCTGTGAAATATTTAAGTAATTTCAACTGTAAAAAGTTTGGATTTTTCAGTTGGAAATCTAAAATGGTCAGTCGTGAGACTAGAAATGACTTGTTCTGATCTGCAGAAGCATTTTCTCGTTTGTATGAAGGTGAATGTGCTCATGGCCCTTTTAAAGTGCACAATCGCATCTGCGCTCATCTGCATCCAAACTTAAAAAAATAAATACAGCTACCGAAAGCATGAATTTTAAAATGATTCATTTCAATACATGTTTTTTTTTCCACTCTGTCTAGACATGTTAACCTAAGGCCGAACAATACAAACAAGGGAGCTGCCGCGGCCTTTGGCCCCCTACTCGGTTCACATGCTGCTTTTCTTGTACTTAATTGTGTGGGGCTGATGCCTGAGGGTCTGTGCAGTTCCCTTAACACCCTGGCATTAGAGAAAGACAATAACAACAAGTGGGCGTCCAGAAGACCAGGCGTTATCTGCAAAAGGCCAGCAGGCGTCTGATAATCAGTATGCAAAAAAAAATAGACAAAGATGCCCAATGAAAAACATACACACACAGGGGAGGTCTTTTTTTTTTTTTACACCTGTACCCTTATACATTTTTGCTTTCCGGCATCCCTGAGGCGGTAGTGATGTTTTGTGAAGATTGGGGGAGAAAAGGGAAGCTTTGAGATACCACAAAAAAGACAGAAAATTGAACATTTCTGTGGTCTATTGTTTTGGTCAAGGAGACCGGGGGTAAAGAAAAACGTTTTTTTCAAAATGTTCAAAAATAGGAAAAAGGATAGATGGGTGCTGTGTGTATAAGGGCAGGCCAGGAATATGATGATTTGGGAGAAGGTGATTATGAAGACAGGACAATACTGGGATAGACCATAAGACAATAGGAACAGATACAACTGTGATAAGAAAAAGGCTATAGAAATTTAAAGAGCGTAAGCCTGGGGTTTTAAATCATAGGTTCAGACACTTCATGCTGTACAACAGTGTTTTCAGGCCATTAAATGTTTTATTCAGTAATTATTTACACTACAAACCATCCATGACTAGCGATGTCTGGTTTAAACCTTTGCCGATTTCCAAAATGCCAATATTGTTCAAGCTCTTAATTAGAGAGAGAGAGAGATAGATGAATAGATGGATGGATGGATGGATGGATGGATGGATGGATGGATGGATGGATGGATGGATGGATTCCCCCAAACTGCTGTAAACGTCTCAGGACCCAACAAATGATATTTGGCTGTGTTATTGTGTTTTCTTTATCGGAGGAAATAGATAACAATTCTTATTCTTAGATATGACATAATTATAATGCGAATGTCAGGCTAACATAATGGAATAAACAGAAAAAACCTAATCACAAACATTTAGCATTTGAAGTAATGTTTTTAATTTAAAATAAAATCTCCAAATGAAGGCTTACGATAGTTAACGGGAGCGGGTGATTGAGCTGTAACTGCAAATGATAAGACCATTCTCACTGATGGCAATCAAAAAAACAGCAAAAGTGTCACACAGCATGGCAAAAACTCAACACAATCATTATTTTTTTGGAAAAGTGTTGTAAACTCTTTAAGCTGGGGGGACTTTTAAGAAATGTGTGACTCCACGTTTGGACCCAGTTTGGAAAGAAAAACCCCAATTATAAAAATAGAAGACAGACAAAAGTCACCTGACAGTAACTGTCAGTGTGGTTCCCTCAAACAACTGATAGAAAAGCAGCAGGTGACATTTATTAGAACAGAACGCAGCAGTCCTACTGCGTCCCTTCAGTCCAGCTGACAGGTGCGTGACACAGTCAGCTTATACAGTGACTTACAAAGGAAGACTACCTGAGCTGCGGTGGCTCAGAGGCGAAATCTTCCCTGTAGAATTGCAGGATTACCCGTGCTCGAGTGTCAACACCAGCCTGGAAGAGTGAGCCGTCACAGACGTCGCCATTACAGGGAGGCAGACTGTGTGGGAGGCTTAAAAGTGAGCAGTAAATGGAGGAGATCTGTCTTGTTAAGACTGAACTTTTGGCAAGAGACCGTAAAAGTCACTTCACTCCTCTGTCTTGGTCACCAGCGCCTGAGACTAAGGATCAAAGTCTACACTTTTAATGGTGACAGAGAGATTTAGAGGAATTCGACTGGTTGACAGTATTGTATTGTATTGTATTAATACAGTAATGTATTCTATAGAATCTTTTTCGCGTGACAATCC